CATATACTTGCAATGTGAGCTTTTCATTCCATTGTGATGCTGTTTGCAGTAATTTGAAGTTCCTAGACCAAAGCAAGTTATACTCTTCTTCAGATGAGCTGAAGGAGAAAAGAGTCAGGTATCCTTATTTGTTTTTCAACTGAGATTAAAGTTGATTTGGAAATGTTCCTTGATGAAACTGAAGCTGCATTTCCAGTAGTTGGGAGGAGCTCCCAAATTACATTACCCCACCCACATCTGCTTGCTTTCGGTTTACCTGGGGAGATTCTACAAAGAAACTGAAGGAGAAAGGGAGGACAAAAGGGAGAGCAGGCAGTGCAGGTCTAAAAAGACAGAAATGTAAAGCAGAGTACCTCAAGCAGGTAAACCTTCAGTTTGGGTTATACCCAGTGAGGTAACAAGTGGTTAGCAGTCTGTGGTGAGTTGTTGGTGTTCATAAATCCTTTCTAAAGCAGATCATGTCACTGATCATTCAACCCTTGATAAAATATGAGTCAGATGCTCAGCTAGTGTGAATTTTCAAAGCTTCATTGGTTAGAAGGAGAAATGTCTTAAGGATCCAGCCTGTAGTGTAGAGAGGCCTCATTCTTTGGGTGCTGAGTTTGACGTAGCTTCCTTTTGACTGGCTCATTATAGCCCCACTTATGTTCAGACAACATTCTTGTAATAGTAATATTTATCTCCTTGTGTAGGGAATGTTCTGCTAGCTTAAAGAGGAATTACAGATTAATAATGGATGCAGGTTTTGATTTGTTTCCTTTTAAGAGAAATAATACAAATATTTTTTAGGGAAAATGCTTGGGGTTTGTTTTGTTCTATACAGTAAGTTTAAGTTGGAGAATACTGACATTATAACACTGCAGACGTGTGGCCTCTTGTTGGCTTGATACTAGAATGATTTACTATTTTGTTTAGACAACATCTTTTCACAACCGTGTAATTGAAATTAAATTGTTCATATGGTGTTTAAGGAATGTCACTGGTGTATTTTGGACTCCTCTCCAGTGTTTCTTCTAGTCCTTTCCAAAATAGAGGTAACTATGTGTCATCTGTGAGGAATCTGTAATACAGCCTGCTATGTCCCTAGAGGATCTTTCTTAAGTCGTATGTATGAGAGGCCTGGAAAAATCATGTCCTCACATGGTTATATTTGAATATTAGCAACATGACAATGATACAGCTGTGCATTTGTTCCTTTGTGTGCCTGTCTGACTTGGACTGTGGCCTAGAAGTGATGTCGGTGTCAGAATATGTCATTGCTTGTTTCTCAAAGCAGGGCTATGAAGAAGTCTTGCCAGTGTGTGAAAGACACAGTTGGAAAATCTTGTAGATGTTGGTTGTTTTTTTTCCTCCTTGTTGTTCTTTTATAGCGGAAGTTACAGGAACAGTTTGTCTGGATAAGCCTTCATGCCACTGGAACTGTCCTACATCTGTAGAACGGGGCATGACACTGGAGTGTGTTCACTGCATGGTTTGTGCAGGCAGCCCTTTACCTGTAAAGGCTCCACAAGTGATTTTGTGGCTCTCATAACCAAGAATATTAAATATTGTAGATGTGGCATGACCAACCTGCCAGGCCCTCTGAGTCACATACCAAAATCCAGACAGCCAGCTCGTTCTTCAGTGACCCAAGGGAGAAAGGTGCTGTGTGCTTTTTCGCAGGTGGGAAATGACAGTGGCACCTAGGAATGTTAGCTGTCCATTGTGGGTCAGGGCTAGGCTGAAGGGTGTAACTTCCAAGATGTAATGAAGTGTGTAATGTCAACTTCAGTAGCACCTGATAAATTACTCCCTCTCACAGTAGGGATTTATCCTATATAAGCACAGCTCCTCCACTGGATGTGGGACAGAGTGCCAGCGTGGGAGCTCTGCTTGAAATCTTTGTAGCCCAGGGGAAACAGGCTGGAAACCTTCCTGTAGCTCTTTGTTGCTGGGGTTTCAAGTGGTGCTGCTTCTCTGTCTTCAGATGCGTGCTCTGCAGTCTGTGTTAAACTCAGGTGATGTTCTCCACTTCCATTGCCTGGATTGTGGCTTGTATTTTATCACCACTTATACACTTCAAGTAGGAGTGCCAGGACTCAGCATGCAAAAGTCATAGGGAGTCCCCACACAACATAAGATTTGCCAGAATCATGCAATGTTAGCACATGCTAAATTTGTGCATTCTCACTTACCTTCTGCTGCTTGTTTGTTTTCATGGGTATTGAGCTGTTAGGGGATCAAGCTTGTCTCTGCAAGCACAACTGCCTGACACTTTCTTCAGCATTCAAATCCAAAGATGAGATTTTGATGTTATAATGCGTCTGCAGAGATTTGGAGCTTTTACTTCTTTTCGTACACCAAGAATCATAGAATGCTTTGGGTTGGAGAGGACCTTAATATCATCTAGTTCCAACCCCTCTGCTATGGGCATGGACACCTCCAATCACTGGACTCCTTTAGCTGGGCCCCATGAAAGCAGCTTTGCAGTGCCCATGAAGACAGCAAGGTTTGGCAGGCAGCGTTTGATCAGAATGAACTGCCTATTGCCACATCATTCTTTTGCACCCTTGCTTCCAGCTCTCTGTCACAAGAGATGTGTGGTCACAGCACTTTCAGGAGCCATGAACTTTGAGCTGTGGCTCTAGCACTGTCTTTATGGTGTGAAAGCAGGTATTTGGGCATTTTCAAATTTAAAAAAAAATAGCCTCTGATTTGGGGTGTCCACATCTGGGGACATAGTCAAGGTCACACTAGGCCTGATTTTCAGAAGTGGTGAGTACCTGTGAATCCTTTTATTCTCATCTGGGACTGTAGATACTTAATTTGCCCTGTAGGGCAAATTAGGTATTTAGAGCTTAAACATGAATTGTGTTACATAAGTTTCTAAGCACTAAGAAACTAATGAGCAGCACTACTGTTAAGCACTGTTCTTAATAGCAACTGCAGTTTTCATATTGAGATGCCTTATGAGATGTGAATTTGAGAAGAGGAGGAGGAGAAAGGAAGAAAAATGTTCTAAAAATGTGGTAGAGTCCACAGAGTGTGTGACTTACCGAGGATGTTGGGGGAAATAGGAAGCTTTCATTTATTTAATAAACGAGCAAAAAACCCCCAAACAGAAAACCCCACAAACCCCCAAAATCTAGTCTCGGAAGACTGAAAATAATTAATGTTCTTTGCTGTCACTTTAAGATATACTGTCTGCCACTTCATCTTCTCTTTCCCTTTTCTACTCTCAGGAGACTAGTTCTCCCGAAAGTGGGGTTTGAGATTTGGGAGTGCTTGTTAAGAAAGATGGGATATGGCAGAACACTTCACAGCTGTGTTAGGGTCAGACCTCAGAATAGTAATTTCATTTCTGAGACCCTTCCTTAGCTGGCGTTCACAAATGAGGCTCCATGCCATTTCAAGATAATCCTACTCCTGTGCTTTTACAAGGAAGAAGCAGATCTAATTTTAAAAGTAACCAGTCTACAGAAGATTGTTCCAAATAAATTACAATGCTGGGCATCATACTTGGTATTTCGTTCTGCTGTTCCCTGTTGAAGCCTGAGTACTGTGGTCTGTGCTGTTTGCATTGTACTAAAGTATAGCTGAGTTTCACTCTGATTGCAGCCCCCAGGGCCCTCATGAAGAAGAGATTCATATCTCATGAGATTACCCCACTGAGCAAAGAAATGAAATAAATAATATTACTCTTAGTTCTGTCAAGTATAGTGGCTCATAGAGCCTTTCAAGGCAGTGTCAGCATGGGCTGGATACTGCCTCAGTGCATAAAAGGACATCCTTTACAAGAACAACACTGCAAAATGAGGCCAATGTGAACCTAATGGGTGGTGGAAAACAGGGAGCCTTTTTTTCTTTTCCCTTCCTAATGCAAGCCTGCAGGGGGTTATTTTGTAGTGTGTTTGAGTCTTGGGGCAAATCAAGGTCTGAAATTCGTCTACAACAGAAGCTCCCTGTAAATCACTGTAGTAGTAGGGATCTTATTTGGGAACCAATTAGAGCTTGTGCTGGTTGTTTCTCCTTGGCAGCTTTAATGAATGTATTGACACAGAAGTACTGGAAATAAAAGATTTTACAGTAGTCTCCATTAGGATGAAGCCCACGGGCTCTCCAGTTCCTTCCACAGTACAATGCAATGCCTCAAAAAGACAGAAAAGGTTGTTATGATAACTTAGTCATGTGTGAAGAACCAGGAGAGCTAAACTGAGTTGAATAATTCTATCGTACTGTAACTTCAGGAAGAAATACTCCCAAGAACAATTGTTCTTCCCCATACTGCATAAAATCTTGCAAAAGCCCACTTGAAATGTGTCTGTCAAAGCAAACTAACTGAAGCAGGTATGGTAAATTTCAAAATCTTGTCTTATTGTTACAGAGAATAAACTCCCTTTTCTTTTTACTTGTCTACCAGTCCTTTCACCCAATGCCTTAGACATATTGTTATAATTAAATTTCACAGCATATCTCCAAAATACATTATGACATTTGATCATATTTTATCTAAAAATCACAGCTATTCCGTGTCGTCTCATATAATTCCTAGTCTTTGGCAAGGCTGTACAATAACCTCACAATTATCTGTTGTACCCTATTCCCTATCTCCTGCTAGGACTCGGGTTCTGTTTCAGTTAACCCTGCAGTGCACACCAAACTAAGAGTGTCTGTGTAAGAAAAAAAGTGTAACACTGTCCTGAGACCTGCAAGAAGAAAAGGCATAAGCTTAGAGAAGTCAGTAAGAAGCTGAAGCTCTTCTGACAAGCAGAGGTCTGTGACTCTGTAAACATGTAGTGCTGTTTTCATTGTCATTTTCCTTTATCACCCCCGTACATTGAAACAAATGAGAATATAATTATTCCATAATAGGCAAAATGGAAACACGGTATCATACAGAATAAAGCTGTTTAAAAAGCCACCTCTGTTTCTACTCAGGATTTTTCTAGTGTTAGTGTAACAGGAGTACTGGTTTTTGGTGTAATATTTCAAGTCCTGTTTCCACCTTAAGAAAATGAGCTGTTGCATGCAAGCTCTTCAAAGGTGATAAGAAAAATAGAGACTGGTTACAGCTACGATGCGTCTTACGGACCTGAAGCTGTTCTTAGCTGTGTATCAGGCAGTTAAAGATATTTTTAACTTCCAGTCTTTAAAAGGTGATGGACTTTTTTTTTTTAATATAAAAAGCATATTAAAATATTAAGCATATTTAAAAGGCTATCATGAATAACATGAATTAAGCAAACAAGACAGGAATAGGAGTGGAGCTTTGGGATGTTATGCTAGGTGTTCTTACACATTTTCTGTGTAGCACTCCTTCCACCAGAAGAAACTCACTAGCCCATGGAGAAGAAACAATTAGGGCTGGTTTAATGTAATGTTATTTACTCTTTCATATTCTGCAGGACCTCATTAGAAGGATGAGAGATGAGTTCCAGCCGTGCATGTATGTTAATAATAGGCAGTACAAACAAGATTATATTAAGAGAATCCCGGATGATACATAAGGAATTAGAGACAGGAGTCTCTATAAAAGCAGGCATGCACTCAGTGAAAGTAAGTGCTTGTAAGTCTTTGCAGAAGAGGAACCACAAAGGTAGAGGCTGGGTCAAACTCCTTAAGCTTCCTAAAAATTTGTGGTAATCCAAACAGTGAAGTGAAATCCAGGAGTCCTCTGAGCTATTGTTGGCTTATTTTCACTATCTTAGAACTTTGTCCTTGAAATTCCTTTTGGAAGAAACTTAAACCAAAACAGATTTACTGCACTGGGGTTGTGAGACAGTAGAAAAATGCAGTTTGTCTCCAAAATAGATTGTTCTAAATCCCCTGCACACGTGATGCTCAAAGTGTGATCAGAAGGACCTCTGAAGGACTGGTAATCGTGCATTTTAAAATAGCTGCTCCTTTTAAGCCTTCCTAAAGAACCCAGGAATTCCAAGATGTTTTTCATGTGGCACAAGTACTTTTTCCTTATTATTTAACCAGGGGGACTTTCCTTAGAGACCAATCTTCAGGAAGACACTTTAGCACGTGTGTACATTTAAGAGAATTTATCTCCTATTGAAGTCCACGGAGCTTGAGAGGTGCCTAAAAGTAAACAGGAGTTTAAGAGTTTTCTTTAAGCAGCAGGGCCGTGATGTCTAGTATGTGTGAAGTCTTTTAGAGAACTGTAAAGGGCAAAATACATGATGAAAAGACCAAATGATAATAGATGAAAGAGAGGAACAAGCTGTGTCCACTACTATTAAACAACTTCTTATCAGTATTTCCATTAGGTGCCAGTCTCTGAAGATAAGTGCACCATTCAGCTGCTAGTTTGGGATGGTGTATATTTTGCCTATATATTGACAGTAAAAATCAAACGATAGAAGTGTGCAGTGTGTGGTGTCATGGTTCAGTCCAGCGGATCAAACCACTGTGCATCACACCAGATGCTATTACAATGCTGTAATTTCTGTGGGATACAAATCAATGACAGAAAACTTCAAAACAAAGATTAAAACTATTTACACAGAGACAAAATCACTTTGAGGTTTTCAATGACTTGTACTTTCTAAGCACCAGTGATTCCTACCCCTAGTAACTTCCTAGTAAAAACACTGTAACTACTGTATTTTCACCTTGTATGTAGATGATTATTTAGGAATACATTTAAATCTGTACCAAAATGTACTGGTCATACAAAGTTAAGGTTACAAACGTCTTCATTCTCTCAAAATACATCTGAAAAGGAAGAGAGTTGACAAACTTGCCAGCATTTTGTACTGACATTTTACTTTAATTTCCAGGAGACGTTTTAACTGCATAGCAGCCACAGCCAGAAACTGGGTGGTAGGCTCGCCAGGACTGGAGAGAGGATGAAGCAACACTGGGCTGGACTTGCAAGGATGGAGTTGGAACTGGCTAGGAAAGGCTGTCCAGCCTGGAAGCTGCAGAAGGAAACACAGCAGGTATGGGTCTGGGACTGGCTGACAAGCTAGGGGAAGGTGGGAATGGTTTGGCATGAAAATCAAGAGGATGCAAGCTAGGGATAGGAACAAGAAAAAAAGGGGAGAAAGATGAAACAGCTAAGCAAATGTATTGAATTAAGGAGGGTGAACAGGGAACATGAAATCACAAAATGGCCATAGGCTGGGAGCTGGGACAGGGAATTGGAGTGAGGGTGTAGAGCTTGAGGGCAAAGCGTGGCAGGGGTTTGATGTGTGAGAAGAGAGATGGATCTGAAGTAGAACAAGGAAGTGAGAATTTGGTCTGGGAGGAGATATGTGAAAGCAGGAGTCAAGGAGTGTTGTAGATAAATAAAGTTAGTCTTTTATACTCCTTATGCACCAAAATGTCTGAGTAGCTTTTTGCATAAAAATAAGTAATGCCCCCAACTGCCCTTTCTCTGAGTTGGAACTAGACTGAGTCTTCTGGTCTTCTAGTCTGTGCCTTGGGGTGGGGGGATTGGAAAGAAACATTTCTTCTTTGGTCAGAGTCAACTTGGAGTTTGGTGATAAACAGTCATTATCTCTTGTGGTGGAAAGACTTTCTGTTTCTGAAAGATATCTGCAGTGTTGCTTAGAACCAGCCATACTCCAGACTCACTTGTTGTTCTCTGGTAGGATAACCTCGGAACAGGCCCACTTCATCTGCTCTGCCATGTTTTGTTCTGGGGCTTGTAACCTCTGCTGCTGCTGCATAGGGAGCAGCTGCTGTAGTTGCTTGTTGAGTCTGTCACAGGCTGGGTAAAATCTTAGAATCAATAGAATGGTTTGAGTTGGAAAGGACCTTAAGATCATCTAGTTCTAACCGTCTGCCATGGGCAGGGACACCACATGCTAAACCACATTTGTGGGGCTGATCCCTTAGCTTTTTGACCAACAGGGCCAGTGCCTCACACCCATTAAGCTGACCAGGAGCTGTTTGGGGGACTTCATCTTGAAGCCTTAGCTCCAAGGAAAGTTTATTCTTTGTATTTTCAGCTTGATAACAGTGAATTGAACTAATCCAACCTGATGTGAGGAAGGCCTGTCTTCCTCTGCCCAGAGTCTCCTGGGCAAGATGACAGTTTCCCAACAAGGTGAAGGTGACGGAGAGTAGTTCAGAAAATGTGTGCTACTTGGACAGCCCCAATGAGTTGTGGAACTCTGCCTCTCTTTGCTGCATGAGAGCTGTGAACTTTCTGTGCAAGGTGCTAAAAACATCTCTGACAGCCTCTGATGTGGATGTTCCTCTTTTCTATCCAGTCTTATTTGAGTCTTACTTGGCTCCAACCCAGACCAGCTGTTTTCCATCCTAATCTTCTTTCCTGCAGCAATCTGGACATGTTCACAGCAGTGGTGTTACGTGGGGTGAGGGTGAAGCACTGCGGTTGTCCTTGCTGTGTTATTGTCAGTTAAACCAGTGGAATCTCATTAGGCTAGATTGCTTCGTAGCAGCTAAAGGGTGGAAGATCCCTGTGGTCCGCAGAGATAAAGGCCTTCGGAGAGGGGGAGCAAAGGCTTATCAGCGCTGCCGGTGACAGAGGAACGTCTGGAGCCATGCTGGTGTGGGGCCAGCTCTTTCTACAGCGTCCCGTGGGCACGCAAACAGCGCTTGCTTACAGCTGAAAGGGCTGCCCCGGGCTCGGGCCTCTCCCTGTAGCCCTGGAAAAGCGTGTTTATAATGGCGTTAATCAGCGAGGATGAAACGAGGCTGCGAAAGTTGATAACGTTGGAACAGTTTTTCTTCAGGGGGTCGTTTCGGGCCCGGCGTTTGGCAGGCAGCACGCCTTGGCCCTGCCCCCTCAGCGGCCGAAGGGTGCCAGAACCGCTAGCGGCGGGGCAGGCGGCCGCGCAGGAGTCCCGAAGAAGCGGAGAACCTCGCTCAGCCCTCGCTTCCTTGGCTGCGGGAGAACGGCCCCGCGCGGGCACCTCGGGACAGCCCCGCGCTCCGCTCCGCCCCGCCGCCACGTCACGGGATTCCAGCGCACTTCCGCCAATGGTGGCGCCGCGCCTCCGAGCCGCCCGCGTTCCTGCGCCGCCGCCGCCCGCCGCAGCCCCGCGGTGGTGATGGGCGCGGAGAGGAGCTCCCCGGCGGTCACCTCACAGGCATCCCCCACCCCCCGGGGAAACCGGCTGCGGAGTGCTCCCGAGCGTGGCCGGGCTTGAAGCTAGAAGAGGGGCAGGCCGTGAGTTGTTAACGTCCGGGCAGCTGCTGGCAGCCATGAAGTAGCGCTGCCGGCTATCGACTTGTCCAGCTGGTCAAGGTGGGATGAGCCTGTTACGGTGGGAACCGGTGCCAGCCTCAGCGCCTGCATTTTGGAGTTCTCGTACTTGGTTGTATGAGCTCTCCCACTGTCCAGTGAGGTACCATTCTCTTGTAAAATGCTGTTGCTAGGTACAACTACTCCACTAATTCGTCTGTAAGCGGAGCAAAAATCCTTTGTAGTTTCTGTTTCCCGACAGCCCTCTCTCATAAACGCACTGCCAGGTCAGAGGTGTGTGTCTGCATAGTGCAGCCTGTTGTATCCCTCTGAGCACCGCAGGAGCTGACATAGATTTCAGCAGGGTGTCCAGCCCACAGCAACAACGCCCTTTTCCTCAACAGGTTTGGTTAGCCCCAAGCAAACTGCTCTGCTCACATAGCTGAACTGTGTCTGCTGCTGGAGGCAGCTTGGATGTATCTGCACAGAACTGTGTTACATCATCATCCCTAATAAATACTTGGCAAATCAAATGTAGCTCCTCCTTATACCTAAATGACAGACAAGATGGTGGCACCAGTTTCCCTGAGTACAGAATTTGGCTCTGTAGTTGAAATGTAGTTAAGGAAATAATAGAATCATAGAAAAGTTTGGGTGGAAAGGAACCTTAAAGCTCCTCTAGTTCCAACCCATGTTCCAAACAACACCTTCCAGTAGACCAGGTTGCTCCAAGCCCCATTCAACCTGGCCTTGAACACTACCAGCGATGGGGGAGCCACAGCTTCTCTGGGCAACCTATGCCAGGGCCTCACCACCCTCACAGGGAAGAATTCCTTTCCAATAATAATGTAAATCAGCCCTCTTTCATTTCAAAGCCATTCCCCCTTGTCCTATCACTTGTAAGAAGTCCCTCTCCACTTTTCTTATCAGCCCCTTTTTTAGGCACTGGGAGCTGCTCTAACCTCTCATTGGAGCCTTCTCTTCTGCAGGCCGAACAAGCCCAGCTCTCTCAGCCTGTCTCCATAGCAGACTGAACAGTCACTGGAGCACCTCCAGCCATTACCTTTCCCACAGGGCATCTTGTTCCTGATGTTAACAGCAAATGAGGGATGAAGTTGCTTATTAAGCAGCATGGCAGCTGATACTACTGCATGGGGATCCATTGGTGATGACAGTGCTAAACTCACATTGCATTTCCAAGAGCTGCATTTAAAAGTTGAGAGTTTGAAAGCATTGATACAGGGAATGAGACTTCTCTGCCCTCCCAAAATTGGATTTTCATTGTGAACCATTGTGTCAGCAGTTTATTTCCAAGCCGAAATAATCCCCTTGCAACATTTAGCTCTTATTTTGTGTAACAAGGAGTATGGCACTTCCCAGCACACCCTTACGGCGAGAATGTCGGCATTGCTTCTGTGTAAAGAGAAAACCAACCCAAACCCTCAAATCCCACCAGATCCCACCCAAAGGCCGCAGGACTGACGCATTCCAGGGCACGGAGACGTGCCTCATCCGGTGGTGGTGGCGGTGGCGGTGGGAGCAAGGCCTGCGCGCCCCCGGCCCGTGTCAGGAGGGAATCCCCCCTCTCTCTCGCCGCGGCGTGTCTTTTGTGTTTGTACACACGGCGCCGCGGGAGGAGGCGTGGCCGCGCGCGGGGCGGGGCCGCGCCTTCCCTCCATTGTGCCCCATTGGCTGGCGGGCGGCCGGGGGGGCGTGGCCCGCGGTGGTACCGCCCCTCCCGAGTCAGCCATCTTTCAATTGTGCTCCGAGCCGCCGACAGCGCCAGCAGCAGCAGCAGCAGCGCCGGCTCCTCCTAGCGCCCGCCCGCCGCCCGCCCACCGCCCTCCTCCCGTCTCTCCTCTCGCTCTCCCTCCCGCACGGCAGCCGCGCTCGCCCAGCGGACGGGGTAAGTCTGGCGCCGCGCCCGCCGCCCCCCGCGCCCCGCCGCCCCCCGGGGGCACCCCGCCGCCCTCCTCAGGGCCTCCCCGCAAAACTTTTGGGGTGCTGGGGACGCGGCGGCAGCTCCCGTCCCTTTCCCCTGCGCCGCTTTCCCGGAGCGGCTCCCTCCGCCGGCACCCCCCGGCCCCGCTTCACGTCGCCGTTGCCCCCCTGTGCCCCCCTCGCCCCGGCTCCAAACCCCCCCTGGCAGACTCCCGGACCCCTTAGCTGTCCCCTCGGCCCCGCATCCCCCGGATCCGGGCCCGGGAGCGGGCGCGGAGCGGAGCCGCTCGCCAGCCCCGGTAACTCTCCTGCTTGCCTTCCCCTGCTCCCCACAGTTGTTGCTCGGCTTCACCATCTTGTCTCTTTTCTCTGGTCACCGACCATATTTTTTTTCCTATTGCATAAAAAACAATAAAAAGGGAAAGAAATTCGCTGAAGAAACGACCCAAACCTAACGCAATTTTTCGGTTTTTGAGTGCAAACTTTTCCGTTGCCTCCCCCTTCATCTGCACCCACCCGGTTCGGAGTTCCAGCGATTTTTTGGGGCGTTATTTTTCGCAATTTATTTTTCCCTTCCTTTGCAAAAGGACTAGGGCTGCATTTCGTGATTGTTTCCATTTTGTTCTGGGGCTGGGAGATGAGTTTGCCTGTGAGAGGCGCTTGGGAGCGAGGCAGCTTTGGGGAAGCAGTTACACAGAGAGAGGCGGACGGCACCCGAAAAACACCACCTCCCCCCCAAATTACATATATATATTTAAAAGAAAGTTTGTTGCTTTATTGCACTTTTCCGGACCTTTTCCGACCGGTAACGCCGGTTTCCCCGCGGCTGCCGCCGGCCCGGGCAGCGCTGCCGGGAGACCCGGGCTCCCCGGCGGGCCGGTGGGGGCCTCTCCGGCGGCGGTTGTGGGCCCGGTTGGAAGCGGCGGGTGGGTGCCAGCCCCCCGGGGCTCGCCGGGCGGTATTGCCGATCTCTTGGCAGGTGACGGGCGGCCTGTTGGGGGGGAAGGCGGCAGCCGCTGCTGCGCGCCTGCTGCCGGGCGGGTGGCTCCGCTTCGGCCGCTGACTCCTCGCTAGCGATTTAGTGGGCAAAAACCCCGTTTTATTTCTCATATTCTGCGAGGGGCGGATGTTTAATTTTTACGGATATGTATATTTTGATTTAATATTTCTTCCGTTGGCGTTCGGTCCGTTGTGCGGCCGCGGGCTCCAAGGCTAACGGCTCGCTCCCGCGGACAGGGGCGCGGGGCTGCGCTCCCTCCCGCGGGGGGCAGGTGCCGGCGGGGCGTGCGCTGAGCAGGGGGGACCCCACCGCTGTTACCCAGCACCCCCCCACCCCGCACCCCTTTCTCTCTCTCTCTTTACCCCTTACCCCGTGCCTCCCCCCCATCGTTGTGCAGGTGTAAGGCAGCGTCGTCGGCAGGAGCATGGCCCGTACCAAGCAGACCGCCCGCAAGTCCACCGGCGGCAAGGCGCCCCGCAAGCAGCTCGCCACCAAAGCCGCCCGCAAGAGCGCGCCCTCCACTGGCGGGGTGAAGAAACCGCACCGTTACCGGTACGAGCGCCGCGCAGAGGCCGCGCAGGGACCCATCGGGAGTTCCCCCCCCCCCCAAACCATTATCTCTCCCCGCGGTGCCGGGAGGGGCTGGGAACCGGGAGAGGTTGAGGGGTTTCCACCGCACCCGCCCGCCTTCTTCGCGCCGGTGTATAACATCAGCGCGTTTCGGTATCGGTGCCTAAAAAAATCAACACCCCCCACCCCACCGCCCCCCCGGTGAACGCGGCTCTCCCGGTTGTGTTTTATTGTTATTTTTATTATTTTAATGGTTTTATTTAATTTTAATTATTTTTTAAATTTATTTGTACTTGTGGGTATTTCAGTGCTACGGGAGGGCTGTGGCGCCGCGAAGTTTATTGTTACCTTCCTATCTGAATTTATTTGAAGGGGTTTGATCCGTCCCCGGTGCCTTTTGGGCGCCGCTGGACACGGGAGCCGGAGGGGGGGGGGTGGGGGTGGGGGGGGGTGGTGGAGGGAGTTGAAGGTGGGGGTATCTGCCGCGAGAGGGCGCGATGAGTCCATGGATGCTCGGGGCCCGGTTGTCCCGTGTACCTGGGTAGAGGGGGCAGCGGGTCTTTCTGACAGCCCTCCGATAACGAAGTTTTCCAGCCCGTGCTTGCTGCAGAACGGTAAGAGTCGTGCTCCAGCCCGGAGGGTGGTCCTGGGCTATATAGATGTACGTATTCCCCGTGGAATAAAACAGATTGGGAAAGAGAAGCTGGTTTGAAATCTTGATCTAAGAGGGTGTTGCTGTAGGCGTGAGGCAGAATTAAACGACTGGGAGAAAGGTAATAATGCCAGAGTAGGAAAATACAAATTTTCTGCAGAAATAAACATGATGTTAATTTCGGGGATGGACTTTGTGTCTGCAAAAGTATGTTGTTATCTGAAGTTGTTGTTCTGACACCAAAACTAACAGAAGGAAACATGCTAAATACCTTGTACAGATGATACAGAATATAAATTCATTGTATATATATATTTATATACACGTGTATATTTCTCTATGTGTGTGAATATATATATATATATATATATAATATATATAGGACAAGACAGGATGAGGTGGCAGCCTCAAGCTGCCCCAGGGGAGGTTTACATTGGATATTAGGAACAATTTCTTCTCCAAAAGGGCAGTCAGGCACTGGAACAGGCTGCCCAGGGCAGTGGTGGTATCACCATCCCTGGAAATGTTCACAAACTGTGTAGATGAGACCCTCAGTGACATGGTTTAGTGGTGGCCTTGACAGTGCTGGGGGAATGGTTGGACTCTATGATCTTAAAGGTCTTTACCAACCTAGTTGATTCTGTTGTATGTAAATAGAATATATATATATATGCACACATCTATAAATAGAATATATATTTAAATAGAATATAAAAATACATATACACAGAATGTCAGTTCTGTGAATGTTGACAGGAATAGGAAGAAACCAGTGGCCCCCTCACTGAGGCTTGTTGTCAGGCAGGTGGCTGGTAGGGTTGTGGGGGTACCTGGGCTATACCTGAACCAGCGATCTCCCAGCCAGGTTGTGGTTTACCATCTCCAGACTCAGTCGTGTTGATGCCATATTGGTGCCAGCTGGCTTCCCTCTTGGGGAAGTCAGGACCTTGCGGGCCTGCTGGCAGGATCCACAGTGGAGCTGGTGTGGATCCATCTTATGGATGCATGGTGGGGAGAATGGTGACCCTTTACTAGTGGAACTGGTTTTGTGTTGTAAACACCGGGGCTCTTACAGTGCGAAGAGCATGTACGATGTTTAGTTCAGTGTTTTTAAGGAGATGTGGAATGTGTCTTGGGCGCTAACTGCTTTTCATGCTTTGATTTCTGAAGGCCGGGTACCGTGGCTCTGCGTGAGATCAGGCGTTACCAAAAGTCTACCGAACTCTTGATCCGCAAACTTCCCTTCCAACGTCTGGTGCGTGAAATTGCTCAGGACTTCAAAACAGATCTGCGCTTCCAGAGCGCTGCCATCGGTGCTTTGCAGGTGAGTGACCCCGCGGGGCAGCATCGGGAACGGGCTTCTCACTGCG